GTTACATAACCAGTTGAAGGTCATGGAGCAGAGCTAGAATTTGAACCCAAGCTCCTGCATTTCCTCCTACAAATGCTCTCACCCCACAACTCTCTGTCCTGTGATTGGGTAGCTGATGTTTTTAATCCTATGTAACACCCTTAACTCTCTCCCTGTGTCCTTGAGATGCCCTGTCCCAATCTACACCCCTCTTCCAAACTGCCTCAGGTCACTGTGTACTTCCCTGGGGCTGGCAAGACAAAGTGTGTGGCCTCGACAACAGGCATGCGTTCTCCCAAAGTTCTGAAGCCAGAAGTCCAAGATGCAGACATCGGCAGGGCCGCCCCTTCTGAGGGCTGTGAGGGGCTGTCTGTCCCAGACCTCTCTCCTGGCTCCAGGTGGGTCTTGGGCAATCTGATGTTCCTTGCCATGTCGGCGGAGGGCCCTGATGTTGGCCTTCATCTGCATGTGATAATGCTTGTGGTTCTCTGTCCAAAATTCCCTTTTACATAAGGACACGAGACGGTTGGAGAAAGGACACACGTGGCTTCGGTATGACCTCATCTTAAGTCATTTTGTCTGCAGAGACTCTGTCTCCAAGTAAGAAAACAACCCGAGGAGCTGGGATTAGGACTCCACATGTGAATTTTAGGGGACAGTTCGGCCCACACTGGTACACGGTGCTCGCTCTGACCTCCACACCTTCCACACTCTGTTCCCTCCGCCCATCCCTCTAGTCCCCTGTGAGGTCCTCCTCACTCTCGGGGACCTGGGCTGAGTAGTGACCCCCCCCAGGCCCCAAGAACAGAATGGCTTTTCCCTTCCTTCTCTGCAGCAGAGTGTGGGTGAGGAGCAGAGATGGTGATTAGGTGGCCTGCGTGAATTCACCCTCTCTGTGCCTCTGTTTCCCCATTTCAAAAGCATAAGCAACAATACTGCCTATGCCAGTGGCTGATTGGAGGGTTCAGTGAGTCACTGCATTTAGAACAGTGCTCAGCCCACAGTAAGTGGAAACTGATAAAATATGTTTCACCCCTGCTCCCCAGCTCCTCACAGGAGTGCCTGACGTTCTCCAAGACCCTACCTCTGTGTGCCTTATTTCTGGCTCCTAAAAACCAGGTCTCACGCACAGTGAGCTCTTAATGCAGGTGCTGAGAAGAGGATTCTGCATCCTTCTTGTTACCATCTGCTGTCCTGCCCAACACACCCATCCCTACCCCAGAGGCTGTGGACACCCCCGTTCCCCGCTGAGGCACTAACAATTCCTCCCCAGCCTTGGGTTAGGCACAGATTTGACACATCTCTGTGTGTTGCCTGACTGAATTAACTAAGGACCTCAGACCACAGTGTTAACAGGCAAGATCGGCACCTGTCTGCCCACGCTCGCGGGACAATTGGGTTAGCTCAGCCCACTGCAAACCAGATTGCAAAGTGAAGGATCTGGAAGGTTTCCAAAACTCTCCCGAGTCCTGCTGAGCCTCCACTTTCAGAGGCTGCACGTACAGGTGCTGCCACTGTGGACCATGGAAAGAGCATGACGCTGATATCAGCCCACCTGGGTCAGGTCTACAAGCCCTGTGAGCTTGGGCAGGCGCATTCGTCTCCTAGTCCTGCCATCCATTACCAAGGACGGACCGCAAGCCAGGTGGCTTGAGACAAACAGAAACTTTTTCTTGCACAATTGAGGTGGCCAGAAGGCCAGGTTCAAGGAGCAGCAGGGTTGGTCCCTTGGGGGCTCTGGAACTTCTCTGGGCCTCTCTCCTGGCTTCTCATGATTCCAGGAGTCCATGGTGCTCCTGAGCTCTACACAGTAAGTCCCCAACTTACAGACCCGAGTCACGTAACTTTCAGGTACCAACAGACTTCACAATACTAACATTCGTAGATGCGAACAAATCCTGAACTAGCTCACATTGCTGGCCACTGTCACATGTGCCCTGTGTGCGTACAGTGACTGGTGATGGTCACTGACCAGAGGGGGAAGGGGAGCTTGGAGGCTCGTGCGCAGCAGGAGATGGAGGGCAAGGTAGAACTGCTGATGGCACAGGTGTTTCGTGGATTCAGTTCTGTCTGCCCTCCTGAAAAGCCGCTCCAGCGATGTCTAAGTAGTAGCTCCCTTTGTCTCAGCACAAATGACTCTGCCCTGCCTCACTCCATGCAGTCCCCTATGCGTCGGTTGCTTGCTGTACTCTGCCACCATTGTAGGGTAACTGCGTTTGTGTGTGCGTGCGCTTGGCTTTTTTAATACTTTACGTTGTACATTTGTGTAGAAGACTCACTTTGTTGGACTTAGGAAGGAATCCAACTTATGAACATTCTCCCGGAACAGAACTCATTCATAAGTCAGGGACTTACTTATCCAAATCCCTGCCCTTGCTCTTATGGCAACACCAGTCTTAAAATGAGGGTCCACCCTATTCCGGTATGACCCTCATCTCAACCTGATTACATCTATAAAGACTTTGTTTCCAAATGGGGTCACATGCCCTGCTACAGGGCTGAGGGTGGGAATATAATTTGAGGGGAGGGGCACAATTCAGCTCAGCAGGCCACCACGGCTCGGACTTCTGCTGTGTGAGAGGACAGTAGCACCTCCGATCTCTGGGGGATGCAGCGGGGTGGCCCATTTGATGCACTCAGCCTTGAGACCAGCATGGTACAAGGATATGGTGGTCCTGTCAGCCCCTGGCCTGGCCTGGCCTGGGTCCCAAGGTTCTTGGCAGCTGGCAAAGACCTTCTTGGGAGAGGAGTCCTGCCAAGAAAAGACCCAACCGGCAGCAAAGGGAAAGCCCCACAGGGCCCTAAATTTAGGCTCTTGAGGATTTGGTCTTGAATGCTATAAAATCTCTAGAGCATGTAATGGGGCAGACTGAAATAGCTTGTACCCAGCAAGTCACCACAAGGCTCCGAGGGAAGAGAGCAGTGAGATTCTGGACTCTGCTCTGAGTCATCGTCCCCCACCACATACACACACACACACACACACACACACACCCTTCCACTGCCCATGTTCCACCAGCACCTCTCAGCCCCAGGTATGGTGCCTTGCAAGCAACAGTGATGTGTATTACCAAGTAATCTGTTGCTAATAATACAGTGCCAAACATTGCAAATGGATGTATGTATGAGTAGACTCAAGGTTATTCCTACGAAATACGGCTTTCACTCCCTGCATTCTGATTAGGCTTCTGCAGTGGGAGAGCTACAGAGGGAAAGTACAGCCACAGCAGGCACAGGGATGCACCCACGCCTGACATCCTAGTGACTTCATACGAGGACCCACACACACACACACTCCCCGCCCTGTGAGATACACAGGGAAATGTCTCGTAACTGACACAGGTGTGTCCTGTGCCGGGGCAGAGCCTGAGGGAAAGAAGCCAGGAGAACCAGGAATGCAAATTAGAAAGAGGAGCCCTTGATATTCAGTAATCCCATTGGCCACACACGCTGAGTTTGAGCCTATCAGGAACGGGTGCAGAGGTGGAGAGATGTGGGACGGGTGCTATGGGCTTCCTGACTGCACTCCCCCAGTCTTCTCCTGGGGTTCAGAAAGAAAGGCTGCCTGTATTAGGAGTCTCGGCTCCCTGGCTTCCTAGCTATACAAACTTGGCGATTTCTAGACCCTTTCAAGTGCCTCAGTTTCCTCATCTGTAAAGTGGACATGATAATAATAACAACACCCTGATGAAGACTGCGTAAGGATGGATTAAGATAACTCACATAGAGCGCCAAGCACTGTGTCGCCACAAAGTGTGTGCAAGCCACAGAGCAGCCATCAACATACCATCATCACTGCCGTCCTTGTCACTGTGGTTATTGGCATTGCTGCTATTTCAGACGCACCAACAGGGTCTCTTCCCTTCCCGTGACAAGTGCCAGCGCACCAGGATTTAGTAAGTTTGACATGACACTTGTTGTTGTGCTATAGATAGCGCTGTGGGACATTTTCCCTCTGTTATTTATGTGGGGAAGGCAAGTGTCACTGTTGGTTACATAGACACGATCAGGCACTTACTCTGTTATTTTTAAGCAAGTGTTTCTGGGTGTTATGGTGTCGTGAGGAGATGTGTATATTTACTCCTCACAGTCCCTACAGATCTGCAATGTTTGGGTTGGGTGCATATGCTTGGCTCGTGTCCCCAGCATATGCGGTGACACAGTCTCAGGAGAACCTGGTGAAGACTGAAGACACAGCCAGAGTCACCCACTGTCCCAGTTTGCTGGAGGTTTGAGGGCTCCTCTCAGTAGGATGCTCAACTGAGAAAGTCTCAGACAGATCAAGACAAGCTGGTCACTCTGCACAGCCCAGCCCAGGGCAGCCCAAACACCTCTCACCCCTACCCTAGGAGCCAGAAACACCTAGAAACACATGCTCTGGAGCCAGGGGTCTAGAGTCAAATTCCAGTTCCTCCACTTACTGGTCCCGCAGCCTGGGCAGGAACTGAAGCCTCTATACTTCTGTGTACTCAGCTGTAAATTGGGGCTAAAAACAGAACCAACTTCAGTGTCTGTGGGGATCAAATGAGCTCCTGAATGGAAAGTGCTGAGAGTCACAGGTGGCCGCAGCTAACATTCAATAAACCTCTGGGATTGTTATTATCACATCTGCCGCCACTTCTGGTGTGTACTGAATGTGTTTCTAGATCTACATACTCCTAGAGGGTGTACATATATTTATTGTAAAATTAAATCACTACCCTAATTGGAAAGCTTGCCCTGTTCACCATAAATAGCAGGTGACTATAAGCATAAATGCATAACTAACAAAGAGAAGCATCTCTGGCCCCACTCACGGTAGGCTGACACCCTTTGGGGGCTTGGAATTCTAGGTCAAAGGAAGCAGGCTCAGAAGCAAGGACAGAAAAGGTGGGGTTGGGGCTCAGAACCCTGATATAAGGACTAGTCCAGGTCTAAACCGGTCACATGATGCTTCGAGGATATTATGAAAGGGTCACCGAGAGACGCTAATGTGGCCCATCCCAAAGCAGGAGCCGAAAGTACACCCAGTCCCCTCTCACCTCCTTTGGTCCTCAGCAGGCAGGTTACAGTTGCTAGACGTAGAGCAGCTGCATGGTGCTGGTTCTGTCCTTAGAATTAGTCACCCCACTGAGCCTCGGTACGCACTACCTGCAAAATGGACATAATAACGCCTGCCTCCCAGGTTACCAAGAGCATCAGGTAGGACAAAGGCAATCACACGTTGCGGCTTTCCAATTATTCAAGAAATAGTCCTGCTCACCATCTGGCCTTTTCTTTTTTTTTTTTTTGGTACCGGGGATGGAACTCAGGTCCTTGTGCTTGTGAGGCAAGTGGCAGAACCACTGAGCTAAATCCCCAGCCCCCATCTGGCCCTTTCTAATACCAAGAATTACTTTGTAGAAGCTTTTCATCATTACAGTGAAAACCATCTCATTCCTGTGGAACCATGAGAATACATAATCAGAAAGCTCTTTAGAAGGCCAAGAATGAAGGGATGTTAATTTTACCACTTTTAGGTAATTTTTCTTTTCTTCCCCCCTTGTTCTTGAAAACCTGGGCTCCCACTTAAAAGTACTTCAGACACCGAGCCTGAATGACAGTGTGAACTTCAGGTGACAGGACCATAATGCAATTAGAGCAGCTGCTTATTATCCCCCATTATTGAATAATATGTTCATTAATAGCTCTTCTCTCCCTTTGCCATAATATTCCCCTGCTAAAAATAAACATAAACACCAAGACCCAGGGTGACTGAGACCTGAACCTGACTATGGGGCAGCCAGTAGCAGTAGCAGGGGGACGTGAAGGCCAACACGCAGTGGTCATGACCAGGCCAAGCCTGGGGCCCCTCTCAACCCACTGATCAGAGGCCACTGCCCACCAGGCCACAGGAAGAAAGCAGCAAAGAAAAGCACCATGCATGTCACATCCTCACCTCGTCCCTGTGAACCAGGTATTATTACCTGGACTCCCCGTTCATATTACCTTATTTCCCCTTTCACAGATGAAGAGACTGAAGGTCAGAGGGATTCCTTGACTCGTTCTAGTCACATATCAAGAAAATATCAGAACCAAGAAGAAAGTTCCTGCTCTATCTGACTTCATTACAACGCATCTGGGGCTTTAAAGACTTTTCTTTACTTCCCTCCGCTACGTGGTCTTTTCTCATTTTGCCAATGTGTGCGTGTCTGAGTGCACCATGACTCACACAACAGGAGATCATGCCCCTCACCTCCTCCTTTCCTTCCTCCATGCCCCCCTCCCTCCATCCTGGACATGCAAAGCAAGAAAGGGGTCATCTCTGCAGTTATCAAGGACCCCAATCCAGGTCTGCTCAGAGAAGCCCCTGTGGAGGGCTGTACGCTGTCCCTTCTGGGGTTGAAATTGGCCTCAGAACAAAGCTAAAAGTCATATGAATATCTCTAGTGCCTGCTAGCAATCACCTTCTAGTCCCGGTGTCACATGCTCCTCCTGTGAGGACTCAGGAGTTCCGGGAACAAAAGACCTCAATCTGCAAGCAGCGAGGGTGCCACACCTGGAAATCATCTTCCCACTCACCCCTCAGCACACTACTACTCCATGTTTCTGTTTCACAGAGGAGAAACTCGAAGAGCAGGACAAGTTGTGTCCACTTCACAGAAGGGGAAATGGAGGCCCACAGTGACCAAATCAGCCAGGGCGACAGTTAATTGCATTCGTCAGTATGTCAGGCTGTGGCACTCATCACATGGTCACACATCAGTGCAGATGCTGGGGAAGTGTTTTGAGGATGTGACTCACATCTCTTATCAGTTGATTTTAAACCAAGGAGATCACCATCGCTGGGTGGAACTCACCCAGTCATTGGAAGGCCTTAAGAGCAAAATCTGAGGTTTCCCCAACAAAGAGATTCCACCTCAGGACAGAGACACACAGCTCTTCCTGCCTCCAGCATGATGGATTGCCCCACAGAAAGCAGCCTGAAGCCCCCATGGTGGTGTGAGGTGTCTCCTTACATGCCACACACTCACACGCACGCACGCACGCACGCACATGTGACTGGAAATGACAGTGAATTTTTAATTTATGACAGTAAAAGACACTGCCATCGATCCCCCTAAAATTATTCCCCTTAAACACACCTGTTCCATTGTTCTTGCCACTTTATGAAATAATTCTAGACGTTTTTCCTGGGTATCTTTAGTTTTGTCGACAGGGCTGCATCAATGTCCTGAATCATATCAAAGCATTTACCTTTCATGGACATTTGGAAGCCAAAAGAGTCACACAGTGCCAGATCCTGTACAATTGACGGATGAGGACACACAGTGATGTTTTGACCACAGCTTTCCATTGGATGGCACTCAGCAGCAGCATTCATTGTATTTTTTATCACCCTTTATAAAGACATTCAGGACGAAGAACAGATTTGGAGCTCTTCTCTCTTGCCTGAATTAAGTTGCAACATTAGTCCATTTTCCATAGCTATAACTATACCACAAGTTGAGCGATTTATCGAGAATAAAAGTTTATTCGGTTCATGATTCTGTGGGTTAGGATGCCCAGAGATCAAGGGTGGCTTCAAGGGACAGCCTTCTCATGGGTGGGGCTCTGCAGAGTTCTGAGACAACTCACAAGAGGGGCACACGCAAGAGACACAGCCAAAGTGACTTATGGAACAGACCCACTTGCCAGATAATCCATTAGTGCATGCATGAACTCATTGATTCTTAGTCCCCACCTCCAAATGCCGTTACGGTTTTGAATTTTAAGATTGGAATTCCGACAGGTGGATTGACGAGACACATCCCAACAGTTAAGTGCCATTCTGCTTAAGTTTGAATCCTTGATCTGCTGCTTACCTCCTGGGACCTTGGGCAACCACCTTGACCTCTCTGTGCCTCCATTTTTCCACCCCTAAAGTACAGATGATGATCAGACTTTCCTGAAAGGACTGTGACGGGGAGTCAATGGAGTGATAATCATTTACAAGACGCTTACAGTGGTGGCTACCACACAGCACACAGTATATGGAGATGAGTGGTGTTAAATTCCCAAAGCTGGGGCAAACAAGGCTGGTGTGAACAGTCTCACCTCAAACCTAGCTGTGCCCACATGAACTGCAGGGATGAAGAGATAAAGGCTGTGCTGCTGGCAGAAACCTGGAGAATAGAAAGGAGAACCAAACCAGCTGCTGTCTGACAGAGTGAACTTGATGAAGTTCTCCAATACCTGATCATTTTTTCCATTAAATACAAATGTAAGGTTGAATCTGCCTTCAATAGGAAGATAAAAATCCCTAATTACTTGCAAGGACACAATGGAGCAATCATCTTATCCTACTTCTGAAGCAAACTTTCTTCCTCTGTTCCTACTCACCAGAAAGGAAACCAGCAGAATCAGATGTTTCGAATCTACCGTTAGCTCATTCATCCATTTGTCAGACATTTAATGAGC